ACGTCAGGAAACTACTATTATTATCATATTCTATTGTCTATTAAAGTATTAAACGATGTTTCTACAAGCTTGATTTTCGGTCCGAGCAACGGAAAATATCTACAGATAACAAAGTCGAGCGAATACAGTAGGTAAGCGAGTTGCACAACACCTGCATGGCCACTGAGGTATGCATGTTGATGATGACTTGTAAAGTCAAAGGTTTTGTCCGTCACGTCGCTTTGCTCGATCTGCTAACTTGCAAAAGAACTGTTACATATGGTTCTAAAGTTTACACAACCGTTCGGTACAACATGTTTTTCGGAAGAAAATTGTTTTACGCAACTGCTAACAGATATACAATACGTATACTATACTTTACTTAAGCTCTATTTTACAATCGTGTTACAGTAACACTATACGGTGGCGTAAATAATTATAGACTCGAAGTAACTTGTACATTTTTTGTGATATTTAAGCAAGAACTTAACAAAACACCATGTTTATATATTTCTGAATCACAATTAATAAAAAATGGAAATATATAAATATAGCTTTTGTTTGGTTTTTGTTTAAATATCAGTAAAAATGTAAAAGTTACTTTGAGTTTATAATTATTTACAGCACTGTAGGGGACCTTCTTTGTGTATTAGAGTATTTATGTGTATTTATTATAATTAAATATTATATTTGTATATTAGATACAATAGAACACAGGAATAAATGTTAAGTTTTCGTGTAATAGTTTTCCATAATCAAATTGTAAAATTCAGAAGACATAAGTTTATCAGTAACATTACAAACGACACTAAACAAAACCAAAGCAACAAAAAGAGAATAAAAAATACAGTCGAGTATTGCAATTGAGAAAAATCTTTAACACTACTACGGTAGGGCCATTATGTTTCACTGCCATTTGGATCGAATTCTCACTGCATGAAAATTATAATAAAAATAGTACCTTGCTAAAGATGACTCTGAACAAATGATTTTACTGAACTGAATTGGTAACTCTAACAAGTAGTGCATTTACAAAAACATAACTTCCTGCCATAAATAAAGTCGTGTTAATGGATACGTCAGTTACGCATATTTTTTGAAGCAAGATATTACTTTTCTCCATATTTGCACAATACTACCGTTTATAGTAATGTTAATTTTTATATAATCAGTATTTACTTATCAAGTATGCTCGATGCTTCTGGTCTTTCGTAGCTACCGCGTACAGCATATTGTTGGGTTACTATTATAACTCGTTAGTTATTACAACTAATTTATAATATTTGGACAGTAAGTAATCTGATCAATAATTAACGATTGTAACTCGATAGTTATTATAACTGATTTACAATCATTTATAATAACTAACAAATTATAATAGTTAATGATTAATCTGTGTATCTAATTTATAATAAGTTATAATAAGTAAGGAGTTATAATAGTTAATTATTTATCAGATTATTTTTTGCCCAACTCTGGTCCAGTATGTTGTTTGTGTTTCACAAAAGTTCTCTATTGTAGCAGAGACTCCCTTATCTGAACATTTATTTTCACAATATTCTGGTATCCAAACGTTCCTTTCTCTAATCATTGTATTATTTAAATGCATTATTGCCTATATAGTAGAGAAGTTGAATAAAATGTGTACATAACAGAATGTTATGTGTGAATATTACCAAAATAAATCCTCGGATAAGAGAGTCTCCACTGTAGTTGAATGAAAAGTTTCCTTATTCAAATTATTTTTTTAAACATTTTCTTAAGTAAATTGATTGGGTCATGTAAAACCCGACCACACTTATCACGTCACATTTTTATATCACACTGATACCGGATTAACGACTTTTCAGAAAAAGGCACAATAATCTGCATTTTTGGAATAGCAGTTTACTATGAATATAACAATAATACAGAGTCGTGTGAATACGTATTCATGTGCGGACTGATATACATATGTATGGATACATACGTACAGTCAAGCGTAAAATGCAAATGCTCCATCTTATTCTCTCCTTCATGAAATGATATTATCAAGTAAAATCAAACATTGAATAAGTGAAAAATAATACTCGTGGCTGGATCACACTACAAGGCATTACCCACTGCCGTAAAAACCGTCGTAAAGTGTTTAGGTGTACGACTGTAATAAGGACATACGTTACAAAACAGGTAAGTTATGAAATTTGTGTTCGATCAGTCATATAGAAGACAGTTGTCTCTTTACTTATTGAATGACCCTCGAATATAATCGTTGTCTAACCGCATCATTTTAAGATAACGCAAAAAGTGTACGCGTAGCCTGCGATTAAACAAGCCAAACCGACAATTTGCAATGAAAAGATCAAACTCCTTGGAACCAGATCATAATCAACGCATGGTGTATAACGCCTACATTTTTTAATATTGAAGATTGAGTCACACCTTTTACGCAACTATGAACTCGCTACGTTGGCGAGGGAAAACTAATGAACCATTTGGGTATAATAAATGTATTAATTTGTTAACGCATCTGAATGAATTTGTAAAATTAGATCCATTTCTGGTTGATTTTTACCATATTACATTAATATTATTGGGCGAATAAACCAAAAATGTATTCTAATTTTACAGATTTCTTCAGACGCATCAACAAATTATATTTACACATGCAATCCCCATAAAGTGGATTCGGACATATAAGTTGTAACAAGAAAAAAGTACATACTATAAACAAATCATGAAATTGTGCAAAATAGAGATACGAAACGACATCAATCACAACAAAAATAATAATTTTTAGAATGTCAAACTTCTTGAAACATATTGTTCAACAGTGGAGGTATCAAACTAATGATAAATATATTTTTTAAAATTTATTTTTATATCTTTTTAACTTAATTTTATGAGGCGTTCGAGTACTCACGTGGCGTGAAAATTCGATATTTTTTATATATTATATTTTTTTAATTATGTAGGCAATGTTTTATACTAAATTGAAAGTTTTTTGTATTTTGACATTTATATGCTCTACTTTAATATACCATAAAGGATCTTTCCCTTCGATGTATATTTATTTAAATGGATAATAAGATGTCAAAGTAGATGTGAAAGTAGTAGTAGTGGACGAATACTTTCGTGTATGTATGTATATTTATTTGCTACTACTCTACGACGAGATACCCAAATATGGGTGTCATGCGCGGCGCATATCTCTACTTTCCCGCAGTACGAGCAACATTACGAGATCATATAATTTACCAATTTTATATCGCCTCTCGTGTTGACCGTTCTACGTTACGATATAAAAATAAAAAAAAAAAACAAACTCTAATCCTCGTCGAAACACGAAAATAATTTTGATATCCAACTTATCTTCTATTAACTTTCGTATGTGACAATCTGCGATTTCTACCTTGCACTTAGCAGGTAGAACTTAAATAATATTCTTTTATGCAGATTTCGACGCTTGGCAACGCGATATTCAAGTTTCCAACGACGTTCGCAATGCTTACGATACCGATAAATGATTCAGACTATGCAACCTGCTTTCTCTCCTGTTCTACAGGGTGTTTTAGTATTATTGGAGTACGGTTGATCGACTCGCGATTCTCGAAAGTATAATATAAAGAATCGATCAGGAATATCAGAACGAGATGAAAGAAAATTAAGCACACTGTTCTCAAAACTTCTATGTATGCGACTGATTGACGTATAGTTGATAACCAAAAATGATAAAATGACCATGGTATTTATTATACTTTTGAAACTCTAATTACTAAACCACTTATTCTACTCATTCACTCGGTACCGTTAATTCTCTGTTTAAAATGAACGTAGTAATATATGCGATTAAGTAGATCTTGTATAGAAACGAAATAGACACTTAAATAAATATCAAATAGCAAGCTAGGATCTAATTATTGTATGATTAAGAGTAACAATGTTTACAATTGTTTACTAGTATCAAGAGTAACAATTTCCTTTGTAAAATTAACAGTGACAATTTCTTGCGAAATCGGCTTTATTGTTTCTATCTGAAACATGATCTAAAATATAACACTTTAATCCATATGCAATTAAATTATTAATATATCGAATGTCCATAGAAAAAAGTTATAAAAATTGATAAAGATAATTTGAGAAGTTTGATTGTTAAATTTGATTGTCTTTTTTTACATTTAGTCTTTTCATCCAGCTACCTTTCGCGATACTAAGCTACTGATCAATGTTGTAAAGATCTATATCGGGAATTCAGCATTTTTTTAGACAGCGTAATTGTTCTATTTTAAAAATAGACAGAAACGTTTTTAACCTCCAGCTGATTATTCGTTAAATAAGAATGAGACGAAATAAAGATGTTGTCACATGAAGATATGATAATTAGAAACGTCACAGTTGAACACTTTCATAAATAAGAAAAACAAGGATAAATTGTAACCTCGAGTCTCTCAGAGGGTTAAAGTTCAAATGATCACATACATATGTGAACGCCATTTCCTCCTGTGTTACATAACCGTGCTACTTTTGATTATTCCGTCACGATATACATATCGTATACGGGCATTACTGGTCATAAAAATCCATGAACTCTCGAAAGGTTTGATTAACAAAATTAACTAAAATGTAGACGTAAACCGGCTTCTGTGAATTCCTAATTTCCATCGAAGCAAAACCGAATATAAGTTTCCAAGCTACGCACAGTTTAAGCTCCGACATTTCTACTCGATGCAACATTAATCCCACTGTTTTTGACGCGCCAACAAATCCCAATCTGGCCACGCAACACCATCAACAATACAAACGAATCCTTTTTAGCGACCGTTAAATAATTTTCGAACGAAAGCGTTACGTGTTGAACAGGTTCTCGTATAAGTCGGGTGTTGAGAATAAATCGATCCGTGCTCGATACGGAGATCCCGGCGGACAATTACTTGATTTTTCTGAAGCGTGCAACGGAACGCCGCGTCGGCCGCGCCGTGCACGGTGCCTTTCTACATAATGTTAGACGCGATACGATGAGTCACAGAAATGAAGTCACTTACACCGGCAATAAAAAGGTCCGTGAACCATAGACACCGACTTTCGAAACCTCTAATGAACGCACTCGTATGCAAACCCGTAACGCAAACAACGGATGCACGCAAAGCCGCGTCGCGTCGTCGAGCCGCTTGAGAAAGATACGCTTCGAGCTTCGTGTGTCGCTAGAAATTCAGAGTCAACACTGCTCCGTCTCGAGGAACATCGTTCTTTCTGCTTTCTTGGTTGGCGTGACCATGCGTTAAATTTTCCACGTCATCGGATACGATAAAACCGTAGCCAACATTATCAGCTGCAGAAAGTTTTCGAGACGGCCTCGAAATTATAAAATTCGTTGTACATGAGCCGTTTATTTTGAAAGTGGCATAAGTCACATTTTCAACAAAATCGAGTTAATGGTAACACTAATTACAATTGAACGGTATCTTTTCATTTTTTTAAAATTTGCAATCGATAAGTTGAGAACTATTGATATTTGTTCGAGAGAAGTTTTGCTAATTAACGGTATAACAAACATGTTTACTTTGAAAGTGGTGTAAGTCGCTGTACTCAGGAAATTAATTGCGGGGCTTAGTGTAAAAGAATTAGAAACGTGTGATAAGTGTGTGTGAAGTATTGTTTCCAATTATTTTCAGTATTTTTAAAAAAGTTGTGATCACTGGACTTATTTTTATAAGTGCGAAAGAGAATAGTGCAGTTTTGTAAATTATATTATAGTGATGTGGCGGCTACCTCCAGACCCGCCAGCAGATGGCTATAAAATGTTTTATAAACTAACTTTAGATGAAAAAGATGAATTTCTAACTTTGGATTTGTCACCAAAAAGAGGAAGACCTAGGCGTTATTCACAAGTAGAAATGGAGCAGTTATACGCTGGATCTGTTTCTTCAGCAAAATACAAAGACATGATGGATTTGCTTAATTATATACCCCAATATACCACAGTTATTTTAAAAATTTGAAACAAAACACGATTTCCGAGAACTTAATCACTCCTATTGATGACGAAAATTAAATTGAACTGATGTATTTTCATATAAATTACTTATACTTATGTTTCAAAATGTACTAATTATTTTTGTATTTTATGAATATTAAAATAAAAAATACTTAAATCAAACCTTTATATTAAATATGTTCATGGTATAAATTATTATTATACATGTAATTTATTCAACAATTTTAGTAAATCACTGTCCTTTCAAAACATCACTTCAGTAAAATACGTCGGACAAAATTAATATATGTCAGTAATTTTTCTAAACTATTTATTTTGAAAGTGGCTCAAGTCACTTTACCGTAATGAAAAGTGGTGATTTTTTAATGTTTATACGAAATTATTTATACTGAGAAAAATATCAGTATCCTGAGTAAATCTTCTCGAAAGTTAGCATCCATATTTTGAAACGTGTTAAAACGCAAACCCTTAAATATATCGACTTAAAAACAAAGTGACTTATGCCACTTGCAAAATAAATGGCTCACATATCAGTCGTTTGATTTTCATCGAATACGGTTTTATGTTATTGAACGGAAGTTCAAGTGGTAGATCACTGTTCCAGTGATGGAAACGTTCTGGAACTTTTCAATAGATTGTATTTGTAACTAATAAATGTGATTTGTGTGTCAAGAATTAATACAGACGACTTGTGATGCGTCTATTGCAACGAAAGAAAATTCGTTAGAACTTTCTAATATAATAATTTTCTCTTGCCATAAGTGTCAATCTTGTATTAAGAATATTTCATGGTCTAGTTTCAATTAGATACATCCGATGAACCTTTTACGAGCTTCCGTTTATGTAACTTACTTTTACCCTAATTAAGTTGTTACATTTAAATGCTCGAGTTTCAATATTATTTTTGCTCTTGCTGACCGAAGTATTTTAATCAATGCAACCGGTGCTTTCTGATTTACCGTTTCTTTCTGTTTGCATACTCTTAATTAGTCCGTATTTGCTACAGATCATATTGATGATTGCAGTTGATGAATACATAGAGTTTTATCTCGCGGAAGTACCTCTATTGGAAAGAAAAATGTTACCTACCTCAATAAGAAACATAATGACCAGTTTGCAAAGAACAAATTGCAAAAATGGTGATACAATAAACTGGGAGACATAAAAATATTCCATCGACGCTACATCGGATTGTCATTATAAAATCGAATACTTTAAGAATTAACATTTCGCAATTTCCGTAAAGTGATTTCATCTCACTGACTACTGAAAGTGACTTAAGCGAAAATTACAAAGATGTAATTCAAGAATTTGTACAAAACAAGATGAGAGAAGATAGATTCACGATAGTAATTGTACCTCGCTAAAAAGTAAAGTTCAAAGTTCCAGAACATAATCCAATATTAAATTCTCTCCAATCGTCCCTCAGCTTGTAAACAGAAATGGACAATTTGGGAAGAGGAGGTACGATTGTTCGAGCCTCGAGGTTCGTTTTTCTAGTGTCGGTTTCATTAATCAAATTACTTTTATATTGTGGGAATTTTTTTTTGGAGTTCACGTTTGGCACCTAACGTGGTAAATAAAATTTACTAGAATATTATTTAGTAAATTCCCAATTGTCGCTCAGCTTGTAAACAAAAGTGAACAATAATTGTCAACAACTACAAAAACGAGCCGTGAGGCTCGAACAATCGTATCTCCTCTTCCCAAATTGTCCATTTTTGTTTACAAGATGAGGAACAATTGGGAAGAATTTATTGTATGTCACTTTGTACATGTAACAACCAAATGTCTAGTTTTAATGAGTCAGCAACTGCAATCTCTTTCAAAAGTGTCCAAGTTATTGTAATTATACCGTACATGTTTGATATTCTTCATATTTGGTTGAATACATTTTACTTTTATAAGATACATAATTTAATAAAGAATATCGAAGTTAGCTGTTTTTGACGAGTATACTCGTCATAGAGAAAATGACTTCGTCAAAGCAGAGATTGGCTGTGAAATGTAACTATAATAACAGAGGTATTATAGTAAGTACATGATCGAATTTATTCGCGAGGTGCGAGACGTTCCGATAAAAAGGTTGGTTACCGCAGGACGGATTGTTATGGGGAAAATTAGCATGAGAAATTACAGGAACGTGACGTTAACGGAATATCATAATATAAATGGAAAATTTGTACGTGCGAGTTATGGCGGTCGTATGCACGTGCACGCACAGCTCGTGTTGTGTCCCTGCAACACGCTCGCGCTCTGCTCTCTTTCCGTCTTCTAGGCTTCGACGTACACGAACCGTGTAACGAGATAACTGGCCTTCTAACGAGATTATCACTCGACTACGTTCGCTGTCGAGTTTTTCAGTTCCCGGCAACGACGAGACAGACTATCGTAGCGACGCGACGCGTCGGTGCCGAGACTATCGTCGGTAAATTATCTTCCAAACGCGCTGACAGTTAGAAAACCGACAGACTTTGAAGCTATTTAGAAGCGTCCGATCAAAAGCTACTTGGCTATCTGTAGTTACTTAACGCTGGAACTACCGAATTCCAAGGTTGACCAAAATTTTATTCGATAGCCGATAAGAGATGAAGACTAACGAATACAATTTTATTCGACGCTATCGAAGAAGTATACAATTGAATTCAAATTTTGATTTAGATGATAGAATATATAAAGTGTTCTTTTTTTGTCGCAGTTTATAGATTTATTTCTTCCGTATTCCTTTTTTGAAATATTGCATGAGAAAGTTTGTTATTTTTTGGTAGATTGATCATTGATGCGTAACTAAATTATCTTTTTGGGAGCGCAGAGGAAGACATCGGTAATTTTATAATTCCATAAGTAGTTGAGATCGCAGTGATCCTGAATGTATTTGTATAAATATGTTCTTATAAAATTACGGAAAAACAAAAACAGTTACCAATTGTTAGCATTATTGTTCGAATAAATTTACAATCTCAATTCGAATAACTTATTCAAATAAAGAATTATGCGAATAATTGATTCGAATAGCTGTATCGTTACAATAGGTAACGGTAGAGGACATACGGTTATTATTAGAGAAAACGAAAGAATAATTACAAAATAATTATAAATATAAATAATTATAAAACCATTAAAAAATGATCAGTTTTCATACATAGTAATTAATATAATAATGAATTAAGTATGCCATGTTTGAAATCGTATTGAGAAACAATGTATCTTTTTAGGACAGATTATGTTTCGTTTGAAACGAAAGAACAGCAAAATACTGATCCATTAGTGTTTCATAACAATAGAAACAAGGCTGTAATGGTCGTTCTTCGTGGACAAATTGTCAATTATGCTTCAACAAAGTCTGCTTGAAAGTATGCAAAATGGAATACTTGAACTCATTCAAAATAGAAGTGGACCCACGCATTATCGAATTATTGTCATAATTTCATTTTATTTTATTTTGTGGTGAATTTTTGTGTAATAGAGTGTTCTATTTTGTTGATTTTATAATTATGAACCAAGTATAAATTAATTTCTTTCTGTTTTTCCTTTCTTTCATTGAACAAAATTTCTTTCTCTCTAGAAAACCGTCGTTTTTCGGTACAATCGCAAATATGGCATACTTCATCCATTATTATATTAATTACAACGTATAAATACCGATATTTTTTAGGTGGTTTTACAGTTATGAGGCACGGTGTAGATATTGAAAAATTAAGTAGCTATATGTTACAGAAAAAGTAGTGCAGTAAGTTATGGAAAAGCGAAAGCATCGAGTTTAAGAATTTTGCTCAAAGTTTAAAAAGCGGCGGTCTCATTTGATAAGTTTAACGTTAATTAATTGAGTAACAAAGCACAATTGCATCCGTGACACAGACGTACACGATCGTTACGGGGTTAAGAACCCTTCTTCATGGATAATCATTCCGTTCCCATGTTGCCACATGTTAATCATAGCTTGACTCTAACAACTAAACGTACCATTAAGTGCAATCGTTAAAGCATCTTGACAAACTGCACAGGGTTTTCCTAGAATCTTGATGCCACGCGCATTTCTACCCGGAAAAATAAATCAAGAAGATACAATAAAATCTCTACATACAATGGCCCAAGATAACAGCGTTCGCGTCGAATTATCTTGAAAACAAAGTCCCCTATAAAAGAATTCTTCCGCGCAATCTCAGCTGATATTTTTTGCGCGTGCATACAATCGCGATTTCCCGCTACTGTACCCGCGACTTCGA